TTGCAGTTGAGCAAAACATATTTGAACAGGTTAGATACCGAATCAAATATGTGTATAATCTGACAGTACCTCAATACCTGCAGCTGGTATTACTGTGGATTAGAAACAGACAACAAAGAAACATGGCTTTCTGACAAGAAACATAAAAATGTCAACGCACGTTTGACAGGTTACTCTGACCAGACCGCTTCATCACAATATGAACATTGTGCCCATAGCCTCAGATGTTGCTCTTATGCAAAACATAAATGGAATACTTTGACACCATCTTACTGTGTTAACCCTTCCTGCTTCAGCACAGGCTAGCTGTTAGCATGCTTCTTTCCGTAGATATCTCTAACACAGTACACAGACGTCTTTGTCATAATGTCAGATCTGTAGCCTCATTCTGGGGATGTTAGTTCACTTTGTCCACCGCTGGCAGCTGGGAAACAAGACACGGGACTTTTACTGAGCAGAGTTTATTCATATACAAAATGAAACCTACATTGTACTTTTACTACCACTCCACTTTAATGCCGATTTCTGAAAACACCTGTCTGCTCTGAGCACATCCACTGTCTCTCTCTCTCCAGCACACACATGTGTGTGTGTGGCTGTGAGAGTGAGCACACAAGGAGTGTGAGATGCTGTGATAACTTCCTGACTGACTGGGCCGTTCATCCCACTGCAGCACTGTGGAGATGTTGGCACCAGATCAAAGAAGAGGTGCATTGCTTCAACCCTGCTCACCCTCCAACACACACACACACACACACACACACACACACGAAATACATCCAACAAGCATGCGTGGCTACACGGCTACAGCGTGGCTCTGCAGCAGATTATGGTGTTTGAAGCAGACAAACTGGATTATATTCATGCTCTAATAAGCACATTCAGTCATCCTTCTCTGTGCTCCCAAAGCCAGACAGGATGGAGGGAGAGCGGAGTGCAGAAAGTGGGACAGCGCCGGAACCGTGCGCCATGCGGCGAGCAAATCACACAACGCCTGGACAAAACCATTTTGATGCTTGTTAGGAAAATGGACCTGTCAGCATCTGGAGCCTCAGCCCCGCTCCTCCCTGTGGCTGACGGGAGGCGAGCGAGTGGTGGCGAAGACTTAAGACATTAAAAAATAAGAACTCGTGCGAGAGAAGATGAAAAGGCCTGCCTTGCTCCACAGCCGTGACGCCTGGCCGCCCATTTTCACGAGTGTCTCGCAGCTAAAAGGCGCTTCAAAGCTCGGGTTAAATTAGTTTACAGCAGCACAAACACTTGACGGTGATTGGAAAAAGCTGCTATTGTTGCACCAGCACATAATGCAGCCCGGAAGTGTATGCGTGTGTGTTTGTGGTGAAACCCTCTCTCCGTGCGTGTGTACGATAGAGTTGTCTGACTAAGCGCCCGTTTGGTAATTTAGTGTGACAGAGGGCCGGGCTCTCGTAGGAGGGAAGCAATTATTCCTGTTAAAGCCCTTCAATCACTGAGACGTAAAGCCTGGCTGCTTTGGTTCAGAGCACGGAGAATGGACGGTGGCACCTGGGTGACTGTTACACACAGTGTGTGCGTGTGTGTTTGGTACGGGTGAGGAGCAGGGATTGAGTTCCTGGTACCTGTTTTATGCGGCATCAGGTGTGAGGATCAGCAGGTCTCTGCTGTGGGATGAACGGGCTCCGTCTGGTGTTGGAGGGAATCTAAGACAAACCGCTTGAGTGATTTATGTCCCGCCGTTGATGTTCTATGAAGCACTTTGCCAGTGTCTCAACACGATGTGTCTTTTTTTCGGAGACTGGTGAGTAGAGCGACCAGATCCATAAGACCAAAAAGGAGGACACTGCGGTATTTAGTGAAGCTGTGAATAATTGCATAGGACTCTGGCATGCTCCCCTCTACAATACAACTTTGTGTGATTGCTACATGATGCATGTGTAACAGAATAGGAAAAAATAGTCTTAAAGTGTTTGTTCACAGTATTTGTATTTATTCAATACATTGTGGTGTTCAAAAACTGACCACTGTGCCGAGTGCCACAAAGCATAACATTTGTAGACTTAAAATGTACAAATTAAATCACAGGTCACATAAATAATAAACAGATAAATGAATGTTTTAAAAGCATAAAGAAAACCAAACAAATTTGGTTAACATTTAACGGCTCAAAAAGTAAAGAATTTCTGAAGTGATTCAGTCTATTGGGGACTTGTGTGCAGTGTCTTCATCCGTGTATGTGTGCAGCAGTCCACTTGTATTCAAGCAAATTCCACCTTCACCCTCAGCAGAAGCTCAACAGCACCTCGGTCATCATGGTCGCCAAGCCCCCACCGCGCCTGGGCCTGTTCATCTCCTGCAGGGACACATAACAATACTGTTATCAGCATTCAAAAATCTGTATTGTTTTAAATCCAATGAATATTCATATTATATGTAGCCCATTCATCAAATCAGATGAATCAAATCAGATAGAAATCAATTTGGCTTAAGAGCTTCCTACAGGAAATTAGTAGCCTATATTTGCTCAATTAAATACACAGCAAACAAACTGCATCATATCAAGTGGATGCCACTGACACAACATCATCATAGTGTATGTCTGTTTGGGAAATAAAACATAAGACTAGTGTACTCACCAAATAGTTGATTCTCTATTTGCAATACTTCAGATTTTTCCTTGCTGCATCCAAGAGTTTTTTGTCTCCAAGGAACTTCTTGTACACGTCTGTGCAGGGAAAGGTGAAATTGACACAAACTTGCAGCTCAGCCTTGACACTGTCCACCTCCAGCCGATTCCTCTCATTTCTCCATGCAGATGTCATCATTGAAAAGACTCGTTCTGTGTGTGCATTGCTGCATGGGATGGAGAAAATAGGCGCTGACCTTCCTGAGATTCACGAGTGGTACATCTGCTTTGGAAAACAGTTTCAGATATCGCTCCTCACTGTGGCAACCTTCCATTTCTGGAGAGCTGAAGGAAGCTTCCACCATGGCATATTCCTCATACAGTCCATCCACATCAATGTCTTTCAGATTGCAGGCCTGGATAGCATCACTGTATTCTTCATATGGCACAGCAGTTGTGAGGCCAAGCTTTGCCACTTTGCTATGAAAGCTGGTCTCAGAGAAGTCGTATCTGTCACTTATGCATTTCTTTGCTCTTTCATAGAAAACAAGAAAATCTGTCTCACATTTCTTTGCAAGGTAAGCTGGTAGCTGCTTGAGTTTGCTGTTCACAGTAAAGCCAAAGAACCTGTCCTTCAGCCTTCTCTCAAGTTTCTGTTTCAATTCAGTCATCAGCTTGAACAGAATGTGACTGATGAAAAGAAAATGTCTCAGACACTTCAGTGCTTTCCTCTCCAAAACATTTCCACAAAATCTTGGTGCATTCCTCCTCACCTTCACTCTGAAAGTAGCTGGTCAGTGGCTTTTGCAGGTGTTTTGAGTTAATTAGCTGATTAGAGTGTGGCACCAGGTGTCTTCAATATTGAACCTTTTCACAATATTCTAATTTTCTGAGATACTGAATTTGGGATTTTCCTTAGTTGTCAGTTATAATCATCAAAATTAAAAGAAATAAATATTTGAAATATATCAGTCTGTGTGTAATGAATGAATATAATAGACAAGTTTCACTTTTTGAATGGAATTAGTGAAATAAATCAACTTTTTGATGATATTCTAATTATATGACCAGCACCTGTATTAGATCTGTTTTCTGATTCACCATCTGGTTAAAATATGTTAATTTTAGTCTGAACAACAAAAGACCTCAAACAACTTTCTTCATTTATAAAAAGATTTGATCTGTTGTTTCCCTAAATAACTTGTATTATGTAATTAAAATCATAGAGCTGGAGAGAGGAAACACTTTTTACAACATGTAATGAAGAGAAACCATAATCATTGTGGGTTATTTTATAATGTAAGCATTTATAAGTGTTTTTATGTGCATAGATAATGACACAGAGGAATCCATTAAATGTACTTATTCATTCCACAAGATAACTCTTGGAGATTTAATAGAAAACTGACCACAGGATGTTTCATACAAAGCAAGATGAGGATTCCCAGCCTGTGTGGTTGGGAGATTGTTAACAAAATGATATCTAAAACTAAAGAGGTAAATCTGTGTTATTTATCTCACATCAGAGAGAAACGTACAGGTTTGAAGATTGTTGTAGTCGTTCATGGTGGAACAGCTTCGGAAGAAAAATATGAAAATAATCTAATAAATGGTTTGTCTAGCAACAATATTCTGTGCAGATAAGTGAACATAAGAATAACAAAAGTGCTGACCCATGCTATTTTACAATGTTAAAAATGGATACTATAATATAATGTTAAGAGACATACATTTTGTACAAAATCTTTTCTTTTAGTTTAGCTTATTTTTCCCAGAATTCCAAGAGATTTAGTGACCTTTGTTCTTGGTTCTATGTAGAAGCTCTGGGATGCACAGACATGTAGTCTCTATGAAGGTATGTCAATAGCTGCGTCTGCCTTCATGACCCCACTGAGGTCAGAGGCAGCAGCCGGGAGAGAGAGAGAGGATGCTGCCGCTCTCATTAACGTGCACGGCTATCTTGACAGCGCTGTCTCAGGTGATTGTGACTCACCCTGTAACAATGGCATAGAAACCTCGATCGTAAGACAACTCATGAGCTCATTCTACTGGTTCACTGGATCAAACATGCTTACATCTGCAGGAAACAGAACAGATCAATTAACAAAAACGGCCTTGGAGCAAAATCAGTTTCAAAGTTTGATTAACCGGTTAGAGCCAATAGTGATGTTAAGTATGATGTAGGTTATCTAACCATTCCCTCTGAGGGAAGATTTCATTACACGAGGACAAAAACAGTGACCTGGTCCCCCTTGCTGTCTGAAAGTACCTTAATATGACATCATATGAAATATACTGATGGATCTCAGTAGTGAACTACTACTACTCACAAACGTTGCTGCTGATGCTAGCTCCATCTGTGCCATGCATCCCTCTTAACATCTTCTTTTCTTCCCAGGAGTCTACACCTTCGGCCTCTTCACCGTTGACATCTTTGTCAATGCGGGCCAGGTAGTGACAGGAAACCTGGCGCCCTACTTCCTGACGGTCTGTAAGCCCAACTACACGGCACTGGGCTGCCAGCAGGCCCTGCGCTACATCAGCCACCAGGAGGCCTGCACAGGGAACCAGGACGACATCCTGCGTGCCCGCAAGACCTTCCCATCCAAGGAGGCCGCCCTCAGTGTCTACGCTGCACTCTACCTGGCTGTGAGTTATTCTTCTTCATACATCTGGGAATGTCAGTCAGCTGATCAGACGGGTTGGCCAAACTTATGTGGAAGAGAAAACAGGGGGACGGTAAAATTATGACCCAAACTGTCCATTGTAAGCAGCTTAGAAGAGCCACTGTCTGCCCCATCTTTCATCTGTACTCACTGAAGTTGAGTTTTCCTACGCAATAGGAAAGGATAATTAGAAATATTTCACTTGCACTTTTCACAGTTTGACCCCCAACTAAGCAGTTTAGGGTAATCTGGACAAACTTGTTTTTACTATTTCTGATCATCTGACAGCTTGTAAGCAGGTAGTCAAATGCGGTGAACATCATTATGAATGATGTAAGTCTTGGCTCTAACAATAAAGAGCTAGAGATAAGAGGAAGGCTAACTGTTCCCCCTGCTTCCAGTCTTTATGCTAAGCTAAGTTGATTGCTTCCTGGGTATAGCTTCATATTTAGATATGAGAGTGATCAATTTGAACATTTAACTTTCAGGAAAAAAAAGAAAATAAGAATATTTCGCAAAAATGTGGAACTACTTATTTCAATTGCCTTTGAAAAGGGATGGGTATTTTGTATGAAGCTAAGCAAACATAACTCACAAATGTAACTATGGTTCTGTGAATTCCTGGATGAAGGCCAGTGGTGGTAAACCACATGGATATGTCTTCTCATGCAAGGCGGCAACCTCTGAAAAGTGAAGCCTATGAGGAAGTGCCTGAAACCTGCATTCTCTCTAATGTCCATCAGGGGGCGACTCCTCTGGTTGTATAGAAGTCTATGAGAAAATGACTCTACTTCTCTCTTGATTTATTATCTCAGTAAACATTGTAAACATGAGTTTATGGTCTCAATCTCTAGTTTCAAGTCTTCTTCAATACAGCATGATGTTCATTTAGTAAATGATGGTCCATTTAGAGTCAAACAGACCATAAAGCAGAGTATGCTTTAGGGCGGGGCTACCTTGTTTTTGACAGGTCTCTACCACGGCGTTGTCCAGTTTGGGTGTTGTCCATGTTTTCGTTAAAAAAAAAAGTGAACCCTTCTACAGTGTGTTTTCAATTCATGAAAGTTCATTGTAACCTTTTTGGTTGCATTCAAAAAAAGTCTTATTCAGCATTTGGTTGTACTTGGCTTCACCCATTGTCAATTCTGGTTGCAAAAAAACAAGATGGCGACGGCCAAAATGCAGAACTCAAGGCTACAAATCTGCAGTCCACAAAGCAATGGGTGAGGTCATGGTAACTATGCCCACTTCTTTACTGCCACTGACATTCAGGAAGAACTGAAGAGAAACAGAAACTTATTTAAAAAAAAGATTGGATTAATGCAAACACGAGCAGATTCACAGTATTGAAGGAGTGTTTAGGTAATATACGTAGGTGCTGAATGTCATTCAGATAATGTCTTGAGAGGTGAGTAAAACAATCCTATCTTGAAGTTATTCTATTTTCTTGTTATTGCACGGCTGCCAAAACAGTTTATGCAGGAAATCAGACCAAGAGAGTGTTTTGCAATTCCAGTTCTCTCTCCCAAATGACTCTTTCTTGTATGTTTGAGAATGTTAGTTCTATATTTATGCAAATAATATTCAGCCCAAAATGGTTTTGCACACAGAATGCTGCACCATCAGTTTTAAAGCAGCTGGTTCAGCTGTTGACCCACCGGCTTCAGATACAGTTATATAGTTATAAAAAAGGGGCAAAATCCCAGGAGTCTCAGCTTCCCCTCAGTTTTCACTTCATTTTCAGTGAGTGTTGCTATCAAAATCTGCTAAAAACCTAAGTTGGAGTTAGTGGATGTGTGACTGTATGTCTTTCACGTGAAGAAACCAAACCTTGATCTACAGTAGAGCATTCTGGGAGTTAGATGTTTGAGTTTTCTTCTATGAGGCATGGGCAAATTGTTCATACGTTATACGCAGATAGAGATCGATCTGCACCCCAAATAGCTCCTGTTGGAAGGATTATTATTGCAGAGCTAGGTTTCGTGCACCAGGTCCTTCCTCTCCTCTGAACCACGTCATGTCAAAGTGTTTGCACTCTTCCCTTCCATAGTGTGTGTGACCTTGCATCTAATCTCTCTGATATCTAATAAGATTATCACAGTTAAGTCCCCGATTCATTTCTCACTCGATTGTCTTATTGCCCAGTTATAGATCACAGAAAGTGTCAGTGAGACAGGGATGCTTCCCAGAATTCATTTGAGGGGGTGACGGTCTCCCTAACAGATATCAGATTTGAGAATACTGAAACTTGAGGACGGATCAGATGTTAGATATTCTATACTCATGTATCTATATGTTAATACAGGCAAGCAGCATCATCTAAAGTCTGAATACAAACAATTAAATAGGCTTTGGATTCATGACTTTTGAAAGTTACCCATTATGATTCAGAAATATAAAAAAACTGTGTTAGTTAAGATAACATTCTCCCACTTCCTGTGAAATCGAAACAAGTTTCAGTGAGAAGTTTCTCAGAAGACGGAGCTTTGAATGAAGCTCCAAATAGGTCATCTTCACCCAAACGCTCACAGAAGACGTGGCTTTGAAACAACGCTTAATTCCAATGGACATGTGAAGGCCAATGCAAACAAGCACACATGCATGCTGGACGTGCTAATGCAAACACACAAATGGCTATATTTTCTGATCAAATTAGTGTAATGTGTTTATGGAATACCTGAATCTCTGAGTGCCCATGAGCGTTGGAAGCACGGCTTTGGACCATCAGTGACTCTGAGCGCGATGGGGAGAGCAGATTGCCTCTGTTATCTAGGTCATTTAGCAAAGGCCATTGTCTGTGTACAGCTCGGTGTTTAGGACGTTACATGCAGTTTGCACAAAGACACTTATACAAGTGGCACAAGGACGCACACACACACACACACACACACACACACAGCTCTGAGGAGATGATGCTTACTCCTCCTCAAACTCTCATTGTCTCGGTCATTACAGCAATGCCAGGGCTGAACACAGCCATCCAGCATCCGCCGCACCCGAGGATTTATCGAAATGAAGCTGTAATTACCCCATTCAATGGCAATATAACTGCCATGCAGAGACCTCCGATTACATATGCTAATATTTTGGCCTGAATCTACACTGTAACGTTGTGTTATTTTAGCTGCAATGTATGAATCATTTGGTCCAGAAAATGTCACTGCGTGTTTTTTTCAACAGCCTATATTAACTTCATTCCTATTGGTTATAAAACGGTGTATTCTGCCCAGTCCATTTTGCCACTGAAATGAAAAGCACAGCATCATTAAATATAATGTGGACAGTAAATATGAATTGCATTGCAGAACTACCTTCTGATTCATTTGAATTAGGAAGTCCCAATTTCGCATTACAAATATGGTAAATAAAACAACATGGCGACGGCAAGATCGCCAAAATCGAGGCTTCATAACGTTAGTCCACAAGCCAATGGGTGACATCACGATGAGTTCTTATATACAGTCTATGAGAAAGGTAGGTAGGTTGACAGGCAGGTAGCCCGTCCAATCATGACATTCTGACATTACGGGCTTATTACAGTTGCAGGTCCGTAATAAGCCCGTTGGGACGTTATCAGAATTTGCACAAAAATATGATCAAATGTTTTTAAAGATTACAAACCCTGCCTTTAAGACACACGAGGTGCATTGAATTGTTTTTATGAACATTTGAGGAAATACAATAAATTTGAAACATGAGGTGCTCCATCATACAATATGAACATTAATCTCTGGGATACTGGTCTGTGATACAGCACCATCCATCCATCCATCCATTTTCCTCCACTTATCCGGGGTCGGGTCGCGGTGGCAGCAGGCCAAGCAGGCTGACCCAGACCTCCCTCTCACCGGCAACATGTTCCAGCTCATTTTGGGGGATCCCGAGGCGTTCCCAGGCCAGCTGGGAGATGTAATCCCTCCAGCGTCTTCTGGGTCTTCCCCGGGGTCTCTTCCCAGTTGGACGTGCCTGGAAAATCTCCAGTGGGAGGCGTCCAGGAGGCATCCTAATTCGATGCCCGAACCACCTCAGCTGACTCCTTTCGACGCGAAGGAGTAGCGGCTCGACTCCAAGCTCCCTCCTGATGACCGAGCTCCTTACCCTATCTCTAAGGCTGAGCCCGGCCACCCTACGGAGGAAGCTCATTTCGGCCGCTTGTAGCCGCAACCTTGTCCTTTCGGTCACGACCCAGAGTTCGTGACCATAGGTGAGGGTAGGAACGTAGACCGAGTGGTAAATTGAGAGCTTTGCCTTCCAGCTCAGCTCCCTCTTCACCAAGACGGTCCGGTGCAGCGCCTGCTTTATTGCTGCAGCCGCACCGATCCGCCTGTCGATCTCCCGCTCCATCTTACCCTCACTCGTGAACAAGACCCCGAGATACTTAAACTCCTTCGCTTGAGGTAGGCACTCCGTCCCCACCTGGAGGGAGCAATCCACCGGTTTCCGGCAGAGAACCATGGCCTCAGATTTGGAGGTGCTAAATCTCATCCCCGCCGCTTCACACTCGGCTGCAAACCGCCCCAGTGAATGCTGGAGGTCATGATCCGAGGAGGCTAACAGGACCACATCATCTGCAAACAGCAGAGAGGCGATCCCGAGACCCCCGAACCTGATGTTCTCCGCCCCGAGGCTGCGCCTAGATATCCTGTCCATGAAAGTCATGAACAGGACCGGTGACAAAGGGCAGCCCTGGCGTAGGCCAACACCCACCGGGAACGTGTCTGACTTATTACCGAGAATGCGGACACAGCTCCTACTGCAGTCATACAGAGACCGGATCGCCCGTTGTAACGGGTCCGGCACCCCATACTCCCACAGCACCCCCCACAAGAACCCCCGAGGGACCCAGTCGAAAGCCTTCTCCAAGTCCACAAAGCACATGTAGACTGCTTGGGCAAACTCCCAGAACCCCTCCAGTAGTCTTGCGAGGGTAAAGAGCTGGTCCACTGTTCCACGGCCGGGACGGAATCCGCACTGCTCCTCTTG